TTTTAAGCAAATAAACACACTAGCATACCATGATCAGAGAATATGCATATGACATTATTTTAAATTAATTTTTGCCACACGCCTTTAATCCCAGCACTCAGGAGGTAGAGGCAGGCAGATCCATGTGAGTTCTAAACCAGCCTGGTCTACAAGAGTTACTTCCAGGACAGCCTCCAAAGTCACAGAGAAACCCTGTCTCAAAAAAAAATCTTTGCATAGAAAACCACTGCAACAAGAAAAAAAAAAAAGAAAGTCAACAAGGAGACTCACACTTTACGGGATGTGTCCAAATTTAGAAACTGTCAAGTCTGACCATGCTGACCCAGCCATGACTTCCTGGGGTGTCATGCAAGGATTGGGGACACGCTGAGCCCCTGTTTACTGTGAGGTGTCATACAAAACCAAAGTCTAGATCCTAACACAAAGATCTAAACACACACACACACACACACACACACAAACAAACAAAAAGAAAAACTGACCAACTCTCCCAGCTTAGTGACTGCTGTTTAACCTGCTCAAAACAGCATCTGCTGTCCCCACTGCATCCCATACTGATGGAGGCTAAAAATGTGAAACATGAGGCAGAAATCTCCCCTCCTTGGTTCCGCAGGACTGGAACCTGCAAATGTCCTGCCAGCTCCCACCTGAAGCGGTCACAGCAAGTGTAGGAAAGGAACGGACTGTCACATGCATGCCCCGATGGGCCTCCACTCCAGGGCTCTCCTGCACCACTCAAGCCATCAGAGAACAGCATCCACTCAGACTGCTGGGACCAGGTTCAAGCCTTCCCTACAGAGCCCACAGTTCTATGAAAAAACTTACAGTGAACCTGACCTCCCAGGACTGCCCCTCGGGGGACAGCTTTTCTAGGCATCCACTGGTGGGCCCTGAGGTCAGCATCCACTGTCACTTGCACAGACCTGGCTTTGCAGGGCCTCTCACTGCAAGTAGCTGCATGGATGACTGGAAGAGAAGCACCCCTGTTGGGAGATGTCATTCTGTAAAAATGTGTCTGATTGGTTTGAATAAAGTACTGTTGGCCAATAGGGAAGCAAGATAGGTGGGACTAGGAGTCGAGGAGGATTCTGGGAAAGAGAAACACAGGGAGACACCATGTAGCCACCAGAGGAGTAAGAGGTCCGGACCCTTTCTCCGGTAAAAGAAATACTTAGATTAACAATTATGGGTTAAATACTTAAGTCAGAAATAGCCAGTAAGAAACCAAGCAAACAGCCAACAGATTTATAATTAATATTGTGTCCTGTGAGTTATTTGGGGATTCAGACAACACGGCAGGGCCCAGGCAACTGGCAAGGAAAAAACTATACTCTACACAATCCAACTGGCAGAGGGACAGCAATAAATGAGACCTCTGGGCTGCAGCACCCTCTGGAGGACACATGGAATCTGGATGCCACCACCAAAGCCTGTGTCCTTGCCTGTCCCCTCTCTGGGCCCAGTGCAGGCTGTGGTCAGCCCAGCTGTCACTGGGCATCTGAGAACTGATAAGCAAAGACAGATACATGACCAAGTGGGCAAAGGAAGCAAAGAGTTCCAAAGTACATCCACTTCTTTCTTCTATACTCGTCAGCTCCACACAATGTGAGGCTTGAAGCAATGGGAGCTGGACGCTGGGGTCAGGAGTTGGCCAGGGGCACAGCAGAGGGCTCAGACTGCACCAGCCAACCTGCCTCCTTCAGGACAGCCCTGCATTCCCCAATAGGGACGCCAGAGGGCATGACCTCTAACAGCCACTGCTATTCGGTAACCCCAGATGGTGGTGGTGACGTCATACTGGGGACATGGCCTATGGGGCACACAATTCCCTCCTTTCAATTCCCCTCTTCAGCACAGGGAAGCCAGCCATGGCCACTCCCAATGAACAATCAAGCAGCCTTTAAAAACTGGGTTCTTGCAACAGAAAGAAAAGCACAGTGTTGTTTTCACAATTACTAACATATTGCAAAAGTAAGATAGAGGCACTTGGTTATCTAACAGGACCAGGCAATGATTTAAAAGAACCAGATGTCAGCAGGGCATTGGTGGCCCATGCCTTTAATCCCAGCACTCAGGAGGCAGAGGCAGATGGATCTCTATGAGTTCGAAACCAGCCTGGTCTACAGAGCAAGTTCCAAGATAGCCTCCAAAACAATGCAGAGAATCCCTGTCTCAGAAAAACAAAAACAAAAACCACAGATGCTAGAATTTCCCCTTAGTCTTCAGGAGGTTGAAGGAGATGGACTAAGAAAGCATCAAAGGGCGTCCCCAGGAGGAAGCAGGCAATACTGAGCGAAGTTTCATTTCCATATGCATCATTTCATAGCCAAGCTAAGGAGAGCGAGAGCAAAGCCAACTCTGGTTTGGACACACAGGCACCAGACCTTGTGACTGCTGGCAGGCAGGCTGCAGACGTTTCTGTGGTAAGCACTGCTTCTGCGCAGGCCCACGATCAAAGCATTTATTGTTTCTTAGTCACATGCCTGACCCTCAGCCTGTGCCCCTGTCCCCTGGGCTCCAAAGCTGTGACACAGGAGGACAATTCAGAACACACCAAGTTCAGGATTAAGGAGAAGTCCTCATGAGAAGACAGCACTCAGCATGCTGTGTAAGCAAGAAAGGCTTTTCCCCACCCCATTAGCTCTGGCTACAGTAAATTGCTAAGGCTCTCCTGGTGTGTTTGCAGATTGCGCTCATGAAGACCCAGCGCACAGAAATCCTCAACACCCAGTACTGCTCTGCGGGTGTGTGTGTGTGTGTGTGTGTGTGTGTGTGTGTGTGTGTGTGTCTTCACAGCTCTTCACACACATGCAGGCCAGACTTTATCCTTTATTGTGAGCATATGTGTGTGAAGCCAGAGGTCAACATCTGGGGTCTTCCTTAATTGCTCTCCACTTTTTGTTTTGAGACAGGGTCTCTCCTTACTGAACCTGGAGCTCACCAGTGAAAAGACTGGCTGTCAAGAGAGCCCCAGGCACCTTCCTGTTTCTAAGGTTCTAGGTACACGCTGCACGACCACACTGAGGCACTGGGGACTGAACTCAGGTCCTCGTGTTTGCATGGCAAGTACTTTACCAACTGCACCATCTCCTGTGCAGTCTCAACACCCTAATCAGGAAAGGAAGTTTTCCTCACTGCTGGCAATGTGGTGTTCCTGCTCTCTGGGGCACAGTGATGCGCTTTGCCTGTGACTTAGGGGAATGTTGTTCCTCCCTTCCAGGTTGCTGGACATGGCTTTCCTTCTTGTGGTCAGCAATACTTGGGGCTCAGAGGTTACAGGGACATAGAGACACATTCCAGAGAGCTAGCTAATCTGGCCTGGGGTAATGATGGACAAGGTAATTTTTAAAATTAGGTGTGAGCCGGGCATTGGTGGTGCACGCCTTTAATCCCAGCACTTGGGAGGCAGAGCCAGGTGGATCTCTGTGAGTTCAAGGCCAGCCTGGTCTACAGAGCGAGTTCCAGGACAGCCTCCAAAACAATACAGAGAAACCCTGTCTCGAAAAACCAAAAAATAAAAAAAAATAAAATTAGGTGTGAGTGTGTGTGTGTGTGTGTGTGTGTGTGTGTGTGTGTGTGTGTGTGTATGAGAGGGGGGAGGGACAGGGACAGGCAGGGAGAGGAGAGAACAATTTACAGCAATCAGTTTTCTGTTTCCACCATGTGGAACCTTCAGGTGGTCAGGATTGACAACAGGCAGCTTTCCCTGATGAGCCATCCTGCAGCCTATGATCAGAAAGGTGAGAAGCGCTGGGCATTGGTAACGCACACCTTTAGTTCCAGCGCTCTGGAGGCAGAGGCAGGCAGATCTCTGTGAGTTCGAGGCCAGCCTCGTCTACAGAGCGAGTGCCAGGATAGGCTCCAAAGCTACAGAGAAAAAAACCTGTCTTGAAAAACAAAAACAAAAAAGGAAGAGAGAGAGAGAGAGAGAGGACAATAATTTACAGCAATCAGTTCTCTGACAACAGGCAGCTTTCCCTGCTGAGTCATCCTGCAGCCTATGATCAGAAAGCTGAGAAGCTCAGGGTACGGGCTGCTGAGAAAGTTCAGCTGGACTGGTGCAAGTCCATGTAACCAGCGTCTCCTGCATCAAGGGCATTTTAACTGGGAACGGGGAACACTGGACTAGGTTAAGGTAGGCTGTGGCTCTGTGGGCTGCAGCCAGGCGCCCCTGGAGAACCTGTGCCCCCGTGAGGTCACAATGTGGTCCCCCAGATCTTCAGTCTCCATTTCTTCTTAGGGTGTAGCTTCTCAGAAGAGGCGAATCTCAGAGACTGAAGTACAGGGAGATGGACATGACTGCTGAGATAAAGGAAAATCGAAGTGGACAGCCCCACTCACAGCTATGACTCAGGACCCCAAACTCTAGGATGTTCAGCCAGGAAAGCCACACGTGAGCAATGCAAACGGAGCATGTCCCGGTCTCCTGCACCTACAGTGCCAACATGCTCTCCATGGGACTGCCAAGGAGGCAGAGAGCTAGCCGGCTTCACGCAAGGGCCTCTTGCCCCTCAGCATGTGCTGGGCACAGAATACAGAAATGGGGAGAGGAACCAGGGTTAAGTATGCCACCATGGGGAGGAGACCCCTCTGCTGCTCCTGCCCTGTCTGTCCAAACATGTCTGCAGCAATGTACTGTCCCCAGCAATACTTGGCAAGTGCAGCACAGGGTGTGTGTCCCCAAGAGCCCCGTGTGGCAACCTTCCCTGAACTTCCATAGCCACCTTAGGCTCAGCAGCTGACCCCTATGTTGGTCAGTTTCTCAGAAGTTGGTCCCAAGTTACAGGAGATCCCGCTGACACCCAGGAGGCTTGCAGATCCTCTGGAATGTTCAGGGCCTTTACAAGGTCCCTGTCACAGTGACAACATGGTTGTGTGCCTACTGAAGCATGAGGATATAACCCTTCCCACACAGTACAACAGTTGGCATAAGTCCGACATCCTCGGACACACTAAGAGCAGCAGAGACTCACACAGAAACTCTAATGCAGGAACAAGGGTAAGACCAGAACGGCAATGAAGATATTTGGCATAATTCTTCCAGATGCCAATGGTTAAGACCTAACCCAATTTTAAAGACAGTGTGCCCGCAGGCCCGGTCCCAGCACAATCAGGATCTGGGGCAATGGCAGCCAGTGGCCAACAGAAGGGTCCACAGGCACAGGCTTGCCTCTGCCTCCTCCCTCCCACAGACCTGTGAGGCAGCGTGAGGCAGTCAGGAGGCCCAGGGCCTTGGGGGAAGGGGCCATGTTTCTGAGTCACATTTCGTGACAGCTTTGTTATTATTTTAAAAAGCCACGATGGCACATTTTCAGGATTGAGACAGGCTGAGACCCGACCCTCAGGAGGGAACACCATGTTGAGTTTCAGTCAGGGCTCTAAGGCAGACTTCACAGCTCTCACGGGGATGGAAACGGAGACCCCAGCACGCTGTGCTGTGTCAGGGCGAGCTCACGGCCCTCACAGCACCGTGGCCTGCACGATGATCTCGGGGTCCTCGATGTCCTTTTTGCTCTGGACCATCCTCAGCTCCAGCTGAGCCGGGCTGGGCTTCTGTCCCTCTCCTGCTTGAGCTGAGGACACAGGCAAGATTAGAGCGGGAGGGGTGGGGGCCCCCATTGCAGCCCGAGGCTCCCTCCTCCTGCCCACACTGGAGCTCCTGCTTCACAAGGGGCTCCACACTGCCCCCTGCTGCCTCACTTCTAACAGGCAGCAGGATGCAGAGGCTGAAGGGGGAGCCCGCCTCCCCCCTGCCTAGCCCCAGACAGGCACCACCTCCAAGGAAGGCAGAGCAGGAGGGCAGGTACCTTTCGCACACCGGATGGTCCTCTCCAGCACGTGTTGCATGGCAGACACAGTTTTCTCACAGGCCGCCTGTGGAGAGGACAGAGACATCGTCTGCCTTGGTCTACCTGGGCGAGCATCACTGTCCAGAGGACATCCCACAGGCACCAGCTGCCTTAGTCACCAGGAAGCTGGCTCCACTGCCACTCACACTCACAGTGACACAGCTGGGTCCACGGGGCTGACTGCACGACCGCCCCCAAGGAGAGGTCTCTGCATTAGCCAGTGTCTGGAATGTCCCCCAAACCCACATTAGAGGCTACGCCATCTGCCTGGGGGGGCGGTGACAGCTCTGGAAGTGAGGCCTGGTGCAAGGTCCTCAGTCCTCGGAAGGGGATAGTGTAGCATCGTTATCTCCTTCCTCTTGGGTTGCTGGATCCCACCATGATGCAGAGCGTGGTCTTGAAGCAAAAGGCCATCTCACACGGACAGACCCCTCTGAAACCGTGAGTAGAAAGAATCCTTTCTTCCTTATAAATTGTCCGGGTGCTTTGTGATGGTAGTGGAGAGAGGGTCAAGCAGACACTGCCTATTAAATCAACCACTTCGGTGTGGATGGAGATGCCTCATGGGAGAGACAGCAGCTTTGGGCTTGTCTATACTGTGCGTAGCTGGCACACGGCAAGTGCGTAACAAGAATTCCGGGAGTGATTAGTCTTACAGACTCCATCAGGAAAGCACTGCTGCCACCACTTTCAAGACCAGGGGACTCAGCAGGTCCCTGACCCTCAGTTCCCTACATGGGATGGCTGAACCAGGGCTTGCCCAGATAACCAAGATAGGCCTTTCTCTTCCTTCCTTCCTTCCTTCCCTCCCTCCCTCCCTCGCTCCCTCCTTCCCTCCGTCCCTCCCATATTAACCTACATCCCCACCGAAAGAGCAGAGGGAGTTGTGGACAGGAGCACCACTTGCACAACTGACCTTCAGATTGTCGGGGTGCTTGTGTGTCCACGCCAGAAGCATGGCGGCGAACAAGTCCCCAGTGCCCACGAAGACAGCATCCACCTTGCGCATCTCCATCCGGATGCGCTGGGTCACCGTGGAGCCATCAGGCTTCCCTAGGGGAGGACATCAGCCAGGTCACTGGGTCTGAGACTTCTCAGCTACACAAGGGTTGCCCCTGCAGTGGGACCCCGTCAGCCCAACTCGTTCGGAATTCTCCAGAAGTGACAGGAAGGTCAGCACTGCCCATCCTTAGGAGTGGTCACACAGATGTGCTGTGGCCTCCTTCAGGAGCTCTGGGACTCAGTGTGGGCTGTCATAACTGACCCCCACTGCCACCAATGTCCCAAAGGGGAATGAAACACTGGACCCTTAGAAGCTGAAACTAGCATGACCTTATATACTCAGAGTGCCAGGAACTGCCTGGATACAGTGTGTGTGTGTGTGTGTGTGTGTGTGTGTGTGTGTGTGTGTGTGTGTGTGTGGCACAGGAGCATTCAGATGCCTTCCCCATACCCCTGTGCATCCAGAACACTCAATAGAAACAGTGGGTGTGAACTTGGGCTTCCTGTCAGCCCGTGACCCAGCTCTGTGCTGGGACAGTGTTCAAGCATAATTAACTCATGTGTTGGTTATATAACCAGTCACTGAGTTCAGCAGAAACCTTCTCCCTGGAGACCCCTGGGCCACAGAAGCCAGACTCAGCTGGCCTCTGGCATAAGTCACCAGTGCAGGGTAGTTCACCACCATGAGAACCTGGTGCTCCCAGCACAGCATGGATATCTGAGCATCTGGTCAGTGGGAGTGGGTGAGCCTGTTCATGTCCCCAACACCCCATCTAGCCTTCACCCCCTGACTCCACAGAGCCCTGTCCTGATCCTTCCTTCTGTCTGACTCTCCTGAGGGCAAGAGGTACCTGCCACTTGCTGACTGAGCCCCACATGTTCTCTGGGGCCTGAAAGCCATGGCTACAGAAACAGAAGGACTGAGGGGCATCAAGGGCACGTGGAGCAGGCACTTACGCATCCTCTGGCTGCCCAGTGCGATCAGATAGTCAGTGCCCCGTGGGGAGAGCAGGTCAGAGCTGGTGATGACCACTGTGTCAGGACCCATGCAGTGCAGCATGTCCATCACCTGCCAGCAGCAAGGGACAGTGTCAGCCCATCCAGCCATGGTCACGCTTCCCAAGGGGACAGACTCTGGTGGGACACTGTCCTCTGCAAACAGAGCTCAAGCAGCCAGGAGTGACCAGCATGCTTGATGGGCTTCCAGAGAACCTGGGACACTGCACACACACATGGCCAAGCCTGTAGTCTGCCACCTGTCAGGGCCACTGAGAGCTCGGAGTCTGGAAATAAAGGGACGCCCGGAAGCCCCAGCCTAACTCCTTAGGGACTGGGAAGCTAGTCATATCCAACAGTGGGAAGGAAGCTTCCTTGCCAAGCTGGTTTGTCTTTCTTTTCTTTTTGGTGCTTGTTTGTTTGTTTGTTTGTTTGTTTAATAATAATAAGCAGAGGTATCCGATGAGGGACTGACCTCATTGTCTTCGAAAGAGGATTCCTGTCCTGTAAGAATGGTGACAGAGGAGCATGACTGTGTCGTGAGACAGTCGGGTCATGAGTCAATACCTTACACCCACAGCAAAAGCTGCTGGAGATGGCAGGAAGGACCTGCTTGGGGACTCAGAGGAACTGCACCCTATTCCGCACCTGAATCTGGGGCTTTCAGACTCCAGAGCTGTGACAGGACACTTTGGTATGGCAACTCCAGGTCACAGAGAAGGTCACATGGTAGGCTGAGTATAGAAGTGACAAACTGTGGAGGGCCATGGGACTGTACAGCATGACAGCTAGTATCTAACAAGTCGGCCCACTAGACATTGCTGGAGAGTCCTACCTGGCAAATCTGGCGCACCAGGCGTTACTGGGGAGCCTTCCATGGCAAATCTGGCACACCAGGCATTACTGGGGAGCCTTACATGGCAAAGCCGGGGGGGGGGCGTATTTCTGGGCACTGGTTGTTCCTGTAACTTTCTCAGGTAAAACTGCTGTGCCTCCCTAGTAAGAACAGCTGCGGGGTTCTTTCCATAGCCCTTTGGTGGTGTGTTTTATACTTGTTGGGCACACATAGAGTTGTGGATGGCCAGGGAGATGACCACAGGATGACCAGGAAGATGGACACAAGACTCCCAGCCACAAAGACAGCCTTTTCCACAGACAAGCTAACTATAGACTCCAGAACAAATTCAAAGAAGGCTGGTTACCTCTAGAGACAAATACACAAGGTCATTTTTCCGGGTGTTGTTTAGCTAATTCAAGGTCAGAGTTTGAAGCAACTTTAGTCTGCATGTATTTCCCAACCTCAAGGTTCAGCCAACTGTTTACTGTCTGGGAACCCTCACCAACTTAGAGCTACGTGTAAGGCCGTAGTTGCTTACTGGCTGGTCACTGTGATATTTCTAGCCTGAGAGAATCTATGTGACTTATCTTGGGTTTTGAGAAGGGATTGGGCCCTAAAAATGTAACTTATAATTGTCCAGAGTTTGGCTGTGAGAGGCAGAGCAAAAGGCAGAGAGCAGCAATTTAAGGAACAAAGGACAGAGGACGTCGTGGGGCGTAGAGACAGACAGACACGTAGGAGTCTGTGAGCGCGGCTGCAGAGTGTGAAGGGTGTGTGTGAGAGATGAAGTGTGAGAGAAGTGTGTGAGTGTGTGAGAGAGGGAGTGAATAAAGGATGAAGGAATGATTTAGAAGAAGTGTGTGTGAGTGTGACAGTGTGTGAAAGAATGTGTGAGTGTGACTGAGTGTATATGAGTGTGTGAGTTTGTGAGTGTGTGAGAGAATGTGTGAGTGTGTGAGTGAGTGTGACTGAGTGTGTGTGAGTGTGTGACTGAGTGTGTGGGTGAGTGTATGAGTGTGACTAAGTGTGTGTGAGTGTGTGAGTATGTGAGAGAATGTGTGCGAGTGAGTGTGACTGAGTGTGTGAAAGAATGTGTGAGTGTGATTGAGTGTGTGAGTGTGTGAGAGAATGTGTGAGTGTGTGAGAGAATGTGTGAGTGTGTGAAAGAATGTGTGAGTGTGTGAGTGTGTGAGTGTGTGAGTGTGTGTGAGTGTGTGTGAGTGTGTGAGAGAGGGAGTGAATAAAGGATGAAGGAATGATTTAGAAGAAGTGTGTGAGTGTGTGAATGTGTGTGAATGTGTGTGAGTGTGTGAGTGAGTGTATGAGAATGTGTGTGAGTGTGAGTATGTGTGTATGTGTGAGAATGTGTGAGTGTGAGTGTGAGTGAATGTGTGTAACTGAGTGTGTGTGAGTGTGAGTGAGGGTGCGTGTGTGTGAGTGTGTGAGTGTGTGTGAGTGTGGGATAGAGAGCTGTGTGAAAAGCACTGTGGCGATACAGAGAAGCTGTGCCTAGGAGTTGTGTAAAAGTGCTATATGGTGAGAGGATGTGCAGGTAAAATGTGTGGCTGAGGCTGTGTGGAGATTCGTAGCCGTGTGGGCAAGGAAGATGAGGCCGTATAGGAAAGAGGTATAGAGGAGAGATGAGTGTGAAAGAAACTGTGGAGTCATGTGGAACAGGTGCAGCTGGGTATAAAAGTGTGCAACTGAGCAGGAGAGGTGCAAGTGTGTGACAGAGAGCGTCCAGAAAAAGAGTAAGTTGGAGTAGAGAGAGGTCACCGTCAGGAAAGTGTGCATGTTCCTTTTTTCTTAGGTTACCCAGAAAACCTGTGTCTCCCCTCAGATAGAAAAGTCTAGCTACCCTCACATAAGAATCTTTAAAAACCCACTACTCCTGAGGCTTTCTCTTTGTTACCCTGGAGCAGACCTCGGGAGCTGGCACACCACCATCTAGTCAACTTTGCCAAGTAGGACTGTCCAGCAACATCTAGTGGGTTGACTTGCTAAATACTAGTTGTCACTACAGTCCCACAGCCCTCTGCAACAAAGGTACCTGCAAATGACAAAGACTGGGTACTCGACACATCTGAGGTCAGAGCTCAGTATCTCTCAGGTGCCCATCTGTTCCAGAAGATGGGTGTCAGTCTCCTTCCCCGTGAACAGGGCCATGTGTGAAGGTCTCCCTCCCCGTGAACAGTGCTGTGTGTGTGTGTGTGTGTGTGTGTGTGTGTGTGTGTGTGTGTGGTCTCCCTCCCCGTGAACAGGGCCATGTGTGTGACCGTGAACAGGGCCATGTGTGCAGGTCTCCTTACCTCCAGGGCTTCTTCCTCACTGTGGATTTTTCTGCCACTCAGCAACCTGGAACACAGATGGGAGTGGTGAGCCAGCCCCTACAGTACAGCCATCCTGGCAACTAACCTACATCCCAAAAAAGGCCATCGCTGCTTCTCTACTGGCCTTAGGAACTGGGGAGGCAGTGACACACAGGGAAGAACGGGGAAGGCCAAGAGTGAAACATAAGGAAAATAAGGAAACTCACATACACGGGTGAGGTTCCAAACTGTGGCCAATGCCTACGTGTCATGGTTTGGGAGCTGGTTGGTAGCCCAGAAGAGAAAGCCTGGTACAGGGCCCTCAGCTAGTGAGTCTAAAAACGCCCGCCAGTGTGGGCATCCAAGGCTTGCAGGACCATCTCACGGGACAGAGGCCTGTGCTGCAAGTCTGGGTGACTGGCAGGTTTCTTAGAAGCTGACCCTTGAGCTAACCAGGGGCCATGTGCCCTGAGCTCTGACAGACATCTGTGGCCTGCAGTTCCACCTGGGCGTTCCCAGCCACATGGGCCCTCAGCTGGACAGGCATCACCTCCTCTTTCTCTTCTTGGAGCATCTTGTCGGCGGGGAGACACTGTGAGCCCACATGGTCATGAAGAAATAACCAGAGATCCAGAGAGCAAGAGCCCTTGTCATTGCCTTAGAGGCGATGGGAACCGCTGCGGGGGCTAGGGGCACACGTCTATAGGGACAAGGGTCAGTCTAGTGCAGGCCAGGCTTTCCAAGGGCTCTGCAGGGCTCACAGGGCAGCTGGTCCTGCTGGCTATGCAGTTACTTACTCAGCCTCAAACTGGTTGGGAGTGATGATGTCTGCCACGGGCACCACTTTGTCCCTGTACACAGGAAGGAGGTCCTGAGGAACGTACTGCAGAGCAGGAGACAAAGGAGGAGACTCACTCACGCAGAAACAGAGCCCAGTGAGGGATGCTCCCAAAGCCCTAATCCTGCGGGCATTGCCACCACAGCTGAGGCCCCAAAGGGACAGCGACAGAGAAGGGTGTCACCAAGTAAGAGAAGGGTCTGGAGCAGGAGGGGAAGGCCTCAGCTCACCAGGACCACACGGGATGACTAAAGGCCACCTGGGATCCTCAAGTCCTACCAGCTGGGGCTAAGCCCGCGTGGCTCTGGTAGCCTGAATCCTGGGGCACCTCATCTTCACCTAAGACATATTTGGGAGCCAGTACACTGTGATCATCTCATTTATACAGTAGATGGCAATTAATACTCAAGGTGCCAACCCACCAAAAACAAACTCTCTGATGGAGGAATCTCCTTTAAGCAAGGATACAAGATACAGACTCTGGAATATCTTTTGCTTCTGAATGTAACTTCACATGTGCTATTGCGATCCTTACCTAGTGGCTATAAGGAATCCCCACTGCCTGTATCTAGTAGGTGCATATCTCCTGAATTCAATCCAATTTACTAGGAATTTCTATCTGTGGATTGTCAAGAAGGTGGCTCCTCCTTAGCTGTATTGTCCAATTGATATTAATAATGTTAGCCTATATGGAGTTTTGATGACTACAAAGAGATGCTACTCAAGTCAGGGGTTATAAGCTCCCCTTAAGAACTGTCTTGGAACACAGCTTGAGAAAACAGCTGTGGGCTGGAGAGATGGCTCAGTGGTTAAGAGTGCTGACTGCTCTTCCAGAGGTCCTAAGTTCAATTCCCAGCAACCACATGGTGGCTCACAACCATCTGGCATGGGGTCTGGCGCCCTCTCTTGGCCTGCAGGCAAACATGTAAATAGAGCACATATAAAACAAATAAATAAAAAGTAGCTATAAATTGAATGCCTTAAAAAAAAAAGAAAAAAAAAGAGCTGTCTGTATTTTCTCCAGCTTCTGAGATAGTCAAATCCCATCAACTGATACAAAACCATTTAGAAGGATATATAACTGTCTGATCTCTTGAACAAAGGTAAAAAGTTCAAAGCAACTTAATTGCTGTGTCAGGTCTGACAAATAATCGAGGACAATGATTAACTCTTCGCACAAATTCATAACCTCAGATTTATGGCCTTTGCTCATATTACAAGAAAGATTCTCTAACTGGCCAGGGCTACAAAATCTAAATTGACTCCACAGTCCCGAGAGAAAGTTACATATTTCCCTTTTCATGATCAAGGGTTATACTCAGGACAGAAAAATATATTCTAAGATTTAAAATGCTTTTAATGTCACTGTGCCTTGGACAGTGCCAAGAAAGCTTATCTGTGCTGGTCTCCCTGCCCCACTGCTTAAGCTCTGGGGGCCGGGGGGCTCCGGGCTGTGGCAACACATTGCCCAACCTTTACAACTGCTAGCCACACAATGTTAGCTTAAAATGTTCATATACTTAAAAGGATATAGCACACATTTCCTTATTCCTATTAGTGTCCTTAGTAGGTTAGTTTTATAAGGCTACCTCTATAGATAAGATAACAAAAAGATTTCCCTTGTTGTACCTGCCCAATAATTAGCGAGTTGACTGAGAGAAAGCAGATAAGGGAAACTAGCAGAAGAATGAATATTTGCAGGAGAAGGTGATCTGGCTGTGACATGTCACCCCATTGATCTGCAGTGCGGACAGACTGACACGGATGGTGAGGTGTCCCCTTCCTCCCTGCCGGCTTCATCCCTTCTGAAACCTCACAGAGAGGACGCCTCCCCTGGATGGAGGACTGCTGTCCTGTAGTCAAGGGTAAATGGCCAGCCTTCTCCCCCGCAAGGGCCTCCAAACAAGCTTTGGAGAAAACCATTTGCAACAGGAGAAACTCATAGGACATTCACCGTCAGTGCCCGTAGCTGGACCTTTATTAGACAGCTAGCCCACTGCTGACAGACCATCTATGGCTGCCATGGGCCACACACAAACCAAAGCTGGCAGACAGGGCATTCACTGTGACTCTTGTCCTCTACTTGTCTATGTGGCGGCCACACTGGTTTACCCAGAAGGTGACCTTGTCTTGGCTCAAAGCAGATGACAGACCACCTGCCTAACAGCAGAGTGAGTGTACTCACCATGGAGCCTTCGCCATTCCACTTGTCACCCATCACGGGATCACACACTGTGGGGACACAGCATCTGGTCAGCAGCTGCTACAGCCTCCCATGACAGACCTCCACACTGTCTGCTTTTCCCTCTGTCTCGTTTTGTGAGACAGGGTGCCACTGTGTAGCCCAGGCTAGCCCTGTAGCTGAGAATGCAGGCACGCACACCACACCTGCCTCCATATCTAACTCTTGCTCTAACTGCCAGAGTGCGTGCCTGCATGTACATACGTGTGCCACGTGTACAGGTGTCCAGTTCAGAAAAGGACACGGGATCCCCTGTATTTACAGGCAGCTATGAGCCATCAGAGTGGGTGCTTGGAACTGAACTCGGGGCTTCTGCAAGAGGAGTACACACCCTTAACTGATGACAGCTTCTCAACTTGCCCTGCCTGGCTTTGAACTCATCACTCTGTAGCAGGGATGAGCCTCACCTTCTGACCCTCTGAGTACTGGGGTCACAGGTGTGTCCTCCATATTCTGTGTATGTGGTGTGAGGGAGCAGGCCCAGGGCTTCATGCATGCGAGGCAAGCAGTCTACCAGCTGGGCCACACCCCTAGTCTCTCAATCTTTTTTTCCAGTTTTTCACAGCAGGGTTTCTCTGTGGCTTTGGAGCCTGTCCTGGAACTAGCTCTTGTAGACCAGGCTGGTCTCGAACTCACAGAGATCCGCCTGACTCTGCCTCCCAAGTGCTGGGATTAAAGGCGTGTGCCACCAACGCCCGGCAGTTTTTTTTTTTTTTAACATCGCATACATAACACTCATGCATCCCAGCTCCTTGCACTTCTTTGTCCAAGACAACCAGGTCCTTCCTGGGATAATTTCACACATAACTTACCATCACTCATGCCTTTGCCTCAAGAACACATTACCTCAGGTCACCTGGACTGGCGGCACAGTGCCCTCCACCCTGGCCTGGCTGAGAGTACTAAACCCAGGTTTCACAATGTCTTACCAGGTTCAAGCACATTTCCTTTGGACACAGTTCACTGCATGGACAAAGCAATGTGCTATTGGCCTTCAGGGCAGGGCACACCGTGCAGACCTGGGAAACTGGTAATTAGGATGTTCCACATGGCACATGGACCCAAGGCTGGCTGGCAGCTACAGTGCCATTCTCCATGTAGACATGTAGACATGGAGATATGGTGTGTGTGTGTGTGTGTGTGTGTGTGTGTGTGTGTGTGTGTGTGTGTATCCATCACCCATGCCCTAGTTTGGCCCTGCCTGGGGTATCAATCCAACCTGCATCCTCCTTAGGGTCAGACCTCACACATCTTGGGCACCCCAGGCCTTCATACATATTTAACCCTCCCTTCTTCTGCACCCCATAAGAAACCCTATGGTTCTCAGTTCCCCTGCTGAGCCTGCCCTCATGACTCCCTCCTCCTTGGAGGTCCCAAGCATCAAATAACTGATAGGTAAAGGCTAAACAGGAAGTGAGGAAGCCACAAGACAGTTGGCTGAGCTGTCCCTTCCCTGAGGGTAAAAGCAGCACGGGGCACAAAGTGGGGGAGGGGCATCGCGGTCCAGCTCTCACCGTACATGAGCATGGAGTTCTGCTGTTTCAGCTCCCGCACGATGTCCACCACCATGGCCAGGAAGGACTTGTCTCTCGTGTAACCTTGGGAGGGAAAAAATCTACGTTTATCCTCACAAAACAGGGCACACTGGCCACCAGGGCACCTGCCATAACAAGAGCCATCAAATCAAACATGCATGAGAGTGGGGACAGGCCAGACTCTGCAGCCAGGGAATACAGAAGGTTTCCAAAAGTCTGTAGCCACAGAGGGGAAGACAGGAAGATCCCAGGCGTAGGCAAAGAGTTTTGAATGATGAGACTACAGACAATTAGCAAGTAACTAAAATTTCCACTTTCCAAAAAAGTCACTCGAAAAATATTTTATGTGCATGTGTGTGTGTGTGTCCACCACGTGTGGCCATAAGGCCTCTGAAGATGGTGTGTGATTCCCTGGAACTGGAGTTACAGGAAGTTGGGAGCTACCATATGTGTTCTGGGAACTGACCCTGGGTCCTCTGCAGAAGTGCTTTCAACAATTGAGCCGTCTCTGCAGCCCCTGTGTCTCTGTAAATCTCTTTATTTAGGGGGTGCAGAGATGGCTCAGCTGTTAGCAAGAACACTGGCTGCTCTTCCAGAGGTCCTGAGTTCAAGTCCCAGCACTTCCATGCCAGATCACACCTGTTTATAACTGTATTCTCAGGGGACAGAAAGACCTCTTCTGGTGTGCAAATGTCCATGCAGACAAAACACCCATATGCATAAAAACACACAAATAATTTTTATTTAATTCTTTCTTTTTGGAGGCAGGGTCTTGCTATGTAGCCCTGGCTCACCTAGAACTTACTATGTAGATTTGGCTGTCCTCTAACTCATAGAGCTGCATCTGCCTGCATGTTGAGACTAAAGGTGTCTGCCACCACAACCAGCCTAAACATGGCACTTTTAACCCAGTATTCTTTAAAAAAATGAATTGACTGGCGGTGGTTGCACATGCCTTTAATCCCAGTACTTGAGAGGCAGAGGCAGGCAGATCTCTGTGAGTTCAACCCAGCCTGCTCTATACAGTGAGTTCCAGGGAAGTTAAGTCTGTTACACAGAGAAAACTTGTTGGGGGGAAAAAAACAACTTAATTGGAGGCTGGCATGTTGGCTTATTAGGTACTGATGCTGGCTGCCAAGTCTGAAGACCTAAATTCAATCCCTGGGACCCACATGGTTGAAAGAACCAACTCCCAGAAGTTGTACTTTGACCTTTACACCCATGCTGTGGCACTGTGTGTGTACAATTTTGTGGACACGGACACATATACACACAATAAATTAGTAACTAAACCCAGTATGTAGATAATACAACCAGAAACACAGCGGATGAACTCGTGTTCCAGGTAGAAGCATTTCAAACTCAACGAATCTACCTGGCAGAGTTCCAACTCCCTTCTCGACCTGGATGCCTCCAGGGTGCGTTGGTACCTAGAGCACAACAAGATCCTCCCTGAAAAAGGCAGGAAACCAAGCAAGCACCCAGCAGGGGAATCTGGGCCTATGTCTGTCACCAGCAGGCTGGGGACCCTCACCAGTGAGCACGTAGTCATACTTATTCACACTGTTCATCTTGAGGCCTTCATACAGCTCATGCAGTTCCTGGGAATTCAGCACTTGACCCTTCCAGTGGGCATAGCCTGCAGGGAGAAAACAGGCTAAGCTGTGGGTGTGGGAGCCCCGGGTTTCCCTGGTGACCATCTCAGTGGATGATGACAACCACCTGCCCTCCATGAGGAGACCCAGCCAGCTGTTCTTCTGAGGGCTGGCCTTAGGCCCAGACTGGATGCTCTGGGCCCAGTGCTCAGTCAGTGGCACCCCAACACCCTGGAAGCACCCAGTTCCTACACTGTGGGAGCTGAACAGTGGTCTCCACCTGCCATGCCTGGTTTCTGTCGATTCAATCCAGGGCAGCAGACACTCAGTGGCCTAGGTAGCCCTGTGGAACTGTGTCCCAGATGTGAATAGGGACACGAGGGCACACGGCCGTTTACTTCTGCATTCAAAGGCAGCAGTTCAGGGAAGCCCACCACACCCCAGCTCAGGGCAGTCCACCCGAGTCCTACCCCTTAGTTCAGTTTGGTTTCCAATCTCCTCTATGTGTCTCTAGCCATCAAAGCCAAGTTGCTTGGCCACTGCCACCTGACACCCTGGGCAGCTAAGGGCACACTCTGTCCCCACCCACTCTCTCTCCTACAAGCAATTAAAACTGCCAACACAAGTCATCGGTCAGATGCTAGCGAGACACAAACATAAGTGAGAAACGGGTCTAACCCAGACATACAATCTACCCCTTTTTCTGCTGCAGCCAGGACCCCAGGCCTTTGGGACACCATCTGACTTGCAGGACACCTGGGCACCGGCTAACACCAAGTGGGGTCAATCACAGACATCCTGAATTTCACCAATGAAAACTTTCTCGGGTTAGCATCTTGGGTCTTCCAGGCACACACGCACAGCCCCTCCAAGATATCCCGGTGTTTCCAGTGCCTATCAATCAAGCAGCAGGTGGAGCAGAGAACTACAGCGATCCTGCAGAGCATGGTCCTCAGAACTAAACTCAATTCCACTGTGCAACATCCAAGCCATCTCATTTAAACACAAATAAGAAATGGTATCCAGGCATCAGTAAGAGTCAGCGGGGTCCATGCAGTTCACTGGAGGCCCTGCACCACCTGGAACTTCAAACACCAGAGCACTGCTGCTGAGCAGCCATCAGTGACAATGACCCACTGTCAGCGTCTATCTGAGGCTGCTAATAATTCTGCCCTCCCGCTTTAAAATCCATAACACTTGAGAAGTGTGTTAAATCCTCTGAGGCCTTGAGTCCTGCTGGTGACCAGCTGGGCTACTCTGGAACACTTGGAGCTCCTGAAGTCCCCTTTGTGTTCAGAACAATGTCCGGACAGGCACTTGGAGGCATTTCAAACACCCGAATGACTTTGCTCTCTTGCCAGCATAGAAAATAGGGAGGATTCCACTCACCAAGGACTACTAGAGAGGACACAGGTCAGGTCTAGGGGGAATACACAATTGTGGCAAACAATTCAAAGGACTTCTAAGGACAGTTCCCTTCAGGAATAAGCAATGATATCTTTGGAGTCTCCAGGACGAGGCAGATACAAGGTGCTCAGCCTAGAACCACATGGAGCTCTCCTGAGACCAAGGGATTGCCAGAGTGGAAAAGCACATGGGTTTGCAGGTCAACAGTTGTCGGCAGGAGAACACGGCAGTACTCCTGTGGTTTACCTGTTCAGCTCTCCTACAACAGTAGATGCTATGACAGCTTAACAGAGACAGCAACTGAGGCATGGTCAGCTACAGAACAGTGGTCCCACACATCAGCCATGGTATGGGGTGGGCCCTACACAGAGGGGCACTTCTGGATTCCATCCCTTGGTCACAAGAGGTGGCACCTACATCCCTCAGAGTCAGGTAACATGCCATGCTCACATCCACCATGACTACGACCTTGTAGTCCTACCTGCATGGTTGGAAAACTGCACAGAGTTCACCGCATCAACCTCAAACCCCAAAACCTGCAGGGCAAAGAGAAGAGGTGGGTGAGAGCCTGTTTGTGACCCCCAGAACCCAGGGCAGGGGTCCCAACGATGGCTAGAGTCTTGACTTGAGAGGGTGACAGGTGAGACCATCCAGGTGGTATAGAACCCTGGGCAGGGCTGGAGAGATGGCTCAGAGGTTAAGAGCACTGGCTGCTCTTCCAGAGGTCCTGAGTTCAATTCCCAGCAACCACATGGTGGCTCACAACCATCTGTAATGAGATCTGGTGTCCTCTCGTGGCATGATGGCATACATGGAGGCAGAATGTTGTAAACATAATAAATAAAAAAATAAATAAAAAATAAAAAAGAGAGAGAATCCTGGGCAGGGCAGTCAAAGAGAAAAGGATGTGTCCAAACCAGCAAGAGGTTTGCATTTCAGGGACACAGAAGCCTGATTGAGGGATTCCTTTGTTCCCTAACTCAGGAAAATTGCCCAAAAGGTCAGGGTGGCAACACCCCTCTCCCTTGCTGGTGAGCACTGAAAGGTTCATGGAGCACCCCAGAGGGACCACCTGATGAAAGGGGTCAAAGAGAGTGATGCAAGCAGCTGTCTGTGCAGAGGGAGCACGGCCCTGTGGGCCTTCTAATCCGCCCCTGAGGAAGAGAGACCAAGACCCAGCTGGGCAGCTCACCTCAGCCAGCCTCCACAACACCAGCTAGCAAGCTGTCCCTCTCTCCATGTCAGGGAGAGAAAGAAAGAAGGTCCCACACCAGGCCTGAGGTCCCCAGAACAACCACATCCATCCAGCTTGGCCCTCTGAATGGCCTCTCATCATAGCTCCAGTGGGAGTCATCCAGGCAGGACAAATGGGCCTCCTGAGACTCCCTGAGTGGAGACTGAGGCTCTGTGTGGGCAGATGTTCATCTCAGCACACAAAGCAGCTCACTGAGCCAAATTAAAGATATCACTGAGTTTAAAGGCCTTTTATTTATTTTAAAGTAACAGACCCTGAGCTCGGAATATTATACCGTTGGTAAACTTCTTGTCTTGCAAGTTTGAGGGCAGACGTTAGTTCACTCCGGCATAAAACTCCTAGTGTGGCAGTGTTTGCCCACAATTCCCGTGCTGGTCATGATTCTGGAGGCTCATGGGCCAGCCAGCCTAACATAATTGGTGAATTTCAGGTGTGTTGGGGTTGCCTCTCAACTAGACAGGGCTGCCTGACCTGCTGATGTGTGAGGCTGGGGGCTGAGCAAACTGGACAGCACCATCCTGTGGGGAGTCTCTGGCTGTCCCCTGGGGTAGTTAAAACACCCCAGGCACAGCCGGTTACACTTCCTCCCTCCTGCTGTTGGGGACAACACCTCCAGATGAAGGCAAGTGGCACCCAGGAAAGGGAAAGCCAAAACAGGAACATGAAGCTTGTCTTTCCTGCTTCCTGCTGCCCAAGGCTGCCAGACATGGCTCCTCCTCCTGTCCCTCATGCAACCTCAGGACCACCCCCACCCCCAGCAGTGATGTGTACTATGCTGGGGTGGCTGTGTGGGCAGGTGGTGTACATCCTAGGGACCCCATACCCGCCTCCCCTGCTGCATCGTCAAAACTCCAGCAAAGAGGCACACACAGCCAGAGGAGGCCTGTTTAGAGCAATAGCTCAACTAATCCCCAAGAGAGGCAGAGCAACTCAGCACAGCAGGAGTGGGGTGAGTTCTGGAATATTCCAGTGTGGTTCTTCCACAGGAATCTAGGGACAGACAGGAGGGACAGGCCCAGCCTCACTGGTGTCCCCAGCCCTGGAGAACCAGTCCATGGCTGATGCTTTCACAGATGGAAATCAGCTAGCAGGGTGGACAAACATCTTGTGACCATTGTCACCCTGAGTCACCTAACAGCCAAAGGCCCCACATCCCTCCCACCACTGGCAACTGCTCAGCCTTACAATCAGCCAAACCACACCCTCTGATCTCCATGGTGAACTGTTACTACACAGCCTGCTTCCCACAAAGCATCTCTCTCCCTACCCTGTGACTCCAGCCCCCCAGCCTGGCTCACAGCACTCACTCCAGGATTCAGCACTAGGCAGGCATAGCCAGGGGCCATGTCTGGCTGTTGGGGTCTGCCTTGTTGGGCACGTGAAGCCCTAAGGAGAGGGTCTGTGCTGAGCCTACGGTGGCATCCATTGGCTGACCTTGCCAGCCCTTGTTGCTGCCAGGTCCCTCTGAGACTCAGTGAGCCAGATTCGGGTTCACCTAGGTTCCAGATGGTCACTGAGATGCAAGCTGGCCAGGAACTGTTCCACGACCCCCTGTCTATCAGCTGGCCAGCTGCTCACATCTGGCTCAGACAGCTGGGAGTGGCTGAGCTTCCAGGGGGTACCAAAACAGCATTCCTGACCCCAAATGAATTCCACAATGTGGCCTTAGTTCACCCCTACAGGCCACTGCACCAGAGCTGCCCTTACTTACTCATTGCTTTGGTCTACTTACCAGAGGGCCTCCTGCATACTGCCCCAGGATGAACTCCCCTTCATGCCCCAGAGGGGGTGGGGGTGGCAGGCTCCCACCCACAGGACCTCACATGGGCTCATAGCAACTGGATGGGCCATGCCTCATCTGCCTCAGCAGTGTCTTCAGTTTAGCTACTCAAGGGACTACTTTTCCAGCAGACAATGACAGGTAAGGGGACAGGGCAGGAGGTGACTCTCCAACCACACACTGACTCCTCCATCGCAGCCAGGTGGCTGGCACCCTCAGAAGACCCTGCTTGAAGCCACAGCTGTATGCAGAGCTTGGGGACCCCAGTCCCTGCTGCTCTGTTCCCTTTCCTAAGGGACAACTTGGTATCATCACCACTGCAGCCTTTCTCTAGACCCTAAACTTGGACGTTTTCAGATTCCTCTGAAAGCAGATGGGACAGAGCCATAACCCCTGACACACACAAAGAACGTGAGCTGGCAAATCCTGATCCTAGGAAGGCTCTGCACACAGCCAAGGGACTCAGGAACCCATCACACAGACTCACATACACATGCACACATGTGTACACACACACATGTACACACACACACACACACACACACACACACACACCCTTAAGATACTGACTCTTCCTTCCCTCCTGCCTCTCGCAGGAGGAAGCGGGCTGGAGGTGTAGCTGGTTCTACAGTATTTACTCAGCACGTGTGAGAAAGGCCCTGGGCTCTGTCCCCAGCAGCAAGCAACAAGGGGATTGGGAAGCCAAGCCTGGTGGCATACATATTTAATTCCCACACTGGAGACACATGATCAGCGAGTTTGAGGTCAGCCAGGTCTACACAGTGCCTGGGGCACAGCTCAGTGGAAGAGCATTTGTTAAGGACGCACAAGGCCCTGGGTTTGGTCCTTAGCACCACAGAAAATAAGAAGGGAGGACATGGTGCTGTCTAGTAGAGGAGAAATGGCAGCAAGCACGCTGGACTTTACCCTGCCCTTCCCTGCTTGCCCTGCAGTCTAGAGGCAAAACAGCAGGAAACCCCCAGCTTCACAGGCCCTCCTGCAACTCTCCCCTTACTCTCTTTCTGCTCTGAAAACCTTCAAGTATTTCCCTTGCTACCCCACTACCTAACGGCTCAGGTCACAGGAAACCTTTGCTACTACACTCTGGCCTGGGGCCAGAAGCAAAATCAGAAGACAGGGAAAGGGTTCTGCTGCCTCTTCTTTCCTTCCTTCCTTCCTTCCTTCCTTCCTTCCTTCCTTCCTTCCTTCCTTCCTTCCTTTCTCTCTCTCTCTCTCTCTCTTTCTTTCTTTCTTGTTTTTCGAGACAGGGTTTCTCTGTAGCTTTGGAGACAGTCCAGGCACTTGCTCTGTAGACCTGGCTGGCCTTGATTGAACTCAAAGTTAGAGGGAGCTTGCCAGCCACAGGCACAAGCCAGGCCCAGCACAAGGGACTTCAGAAGTCCTGGTACCATCTCATCAAGAGCTTGCTGCCTGGTCTACAGGGGAGGCCCAGAAACTTCCCCAGCCAGCTGGGTGGTGGCAGCATACACCTTTAATCCCAGCACTTGGGAGGCAGGGGCAGGCTGATCTCTGTGAGTTCCAGGTCAGTCTGGTCTTCAGAGCAAGTTCCAGGACAGGCTCCAAAGCAATACAGAGAAACCCTGTCTCAAAAAACAAAACCAACAAGAAAAAAAAAAATAAGAAAGTTCCCAGCCATTACTCTGGCATGCCTGGTCAGCCACCTGATGGTACATCCTCCAGTCACCTAGGAAAGGCCCAAGAGGCCTCCACAGCCTCCAGCCTGTGGCCTTCTTGGAGCAGCTCTGGGACAAATCTTGGGACCCAGCCCAAGACTCCATTCTACCCCTTGCTGGCTTTTCTTCCCATATCCAGCAATGGGAATGAGACTTTGTACTCCAGAAGGTACAGTGAGAACACAAACCCCACCTCCACTGAGAACAGCTCTGGACCTAGTGCTGTTCCTCCTCCTGGAACAGCTGCTCAAAGACTATAGTGCTGGCCCCAGGCCACCACAAGCTCTGAAGGTGCCAGCCCACGGGTGCTCACTAAGGCTCTCCATGCTGGACGTGTCCTCCCTACCCATCCCAATGCTGCTCCCTATCCAGGGCCACACAGAGCTATGGTAGCAGCAAAATGCCACCCAGGACTTGAAGGAGTCCCCAGGTGCTTAGGTGCCTCTCTGAGGGAAGAAGCTAAGAGGAGCCTCCTCCCTTGGGTGGGTAGAACACCATGTCTTCAGCCTGACAGAGGAAGCTGAGCCCTTGGTGCAGTCAGGACAGACGGCCAGGAGAGCCAGGGAGAGAGGGCTCAGTGAAGGAAGAGCAGCAGCCAGGGGAAGGGGCAGGGGACACGGGACTCGGGGCCTCAGGAGCCCTGCACACCTCTGTCCAAGGTGAGAGGACTGCTTGGAGCTCAGCATGACCCCACCCTCCCTGGCTGTCCCTGCTTCAGGGACTCTGCCCCCTTGCTCCTAAGTACAGTCTCCCCTCAGTCAGCTTGCTACCCACCCCGGGCCACTAAAGCCAGAGAGCAATGGTTAAGAGCACGAAGCGGCAGACCCGTGCACCTGGGGTAGAACAAGAGTCGGTGTGGGGATGGGTGAAGAATTGCTAATCAACCAATAGGAGCCCAAGTCTCAGCGAACGCCCTGTGCCTATGGACTTGAAGCCCTGCACTGGACACCCATAACCATTTGCCATGTTTTGTCTGCCAGGCACGACTGCCTCAGGACAGCCCTCAGATTGCTCTTAGATAGTGCTCTGGGACATCTGTCCTCCTTCCAGGTCCTCCCCGCAGGTCCGTGGTAGCCAGGTGCCCCTTCCTAAGGTCCCCCAGGGGTCAGTACAGCAGCTGGGCATGAGCGGAAGGGGTACAGGAACCTACCACCTTGCTCAGTGACCAGCCCAAGAGGTTCAGAGGAGGCAAGGCCACCTCCTGGCTGGCCAGGTCAGCCCAATCTTCCTGCTGGACCAGCCAGGCAAGGAAGTGCCAATCACTCTGACATTGCCTCTAGCCTCCATTCTAAAACCCACTGCATCCTGGTTCTCTCCTAGGGCCACCAGGTCTCAAGCAGGAAGCACCGAGGGTCAGAAATGGCTCAGGGAAGAAGACAAGGCTGCTGCAGCCTTTCTAACAGGTTGCTTCCAAAGCAAAACTCAGCAAACTGTGCTGTCTTTGAAGACAGAAGCAGACCTGTGGGAGGTCAGGGCTTTTCCAGCCCCATCCCAGCGATGACAGATCACGCCAGGAGTTATCAGACCCAAAGTGAGGCTCAGCGTCCAGGGCATGGACCTTTTTCTGACCTTACTGAGCCTCCTTGGTCCAGGTCACATGGTGGGCAGAAACAGATCCTGGATTTCAACATGGAATGAGCAATCACCCGCCAATGTGTCTGCTACCAAGAGGCTGACAAGGCTCTGGTCGCCGGGCAGGGTGTTTCCAGCTCAGCATTTTATCACTTCTAGAAGCCCCTACCCACGGCTGGACAAGCAGAAGAAGCAGCTGCACTGACCCACCGGACTACTGAGTGGGCACAGCCGGGCAGAGGACTTCGTGTCACCTTCACGACCTTACTGTATGCTCCCCAGGGTACTCCACGGCCCCGTCCTGCGTGCGCCAGCGTGCCCTGCTCCAGACAGGTACTGAAGGTGGCTGCAAGGGACCAAGGTCGTCGGTCCGGGGTGGAGTGGGGGGGGGAGGCCACGCCGCGAACCCGCAGCCCCACACCCGAGCAGCCCCGCCAAGTTATGTAAGCGGCGGAGCATGTACCTGCAGCGGGAACATGGCCGCCCGGTTGCCCACGTAGCCACGGACTACATGGCTCTGGATGGAGAGCACCCGGCACTCGCCCTCCATGCCGGGCAGACCGTGGTGTAGCGGGGCCCCCAGCTGCCCAGGCCGCTCGCTAGGGCTCAGCTTTCCGGTCCCTCTGGCGCGTCGAGGGGCGGGCTGAAAAAACATGTCAAGAGCAGGCCACGCCCCTCCGGGAAAGGGACCCGCATATCTGGGACGGATCCTCCGTGTTGCAGGCAGCAAGCACAAGGACGCCCAGCCTCTCTGCAAACCCGGGACAACACTAAGTCGTCTCATTTGGGATACACTCCCCATTGTGGTTCATTCATTCCTCACGGGTCCACGGCCTTGGCACCCTCCAGGGTGACACTCCTAGGAGCCTAGGAGCCGCTGTCCAAGCAGCACCCACCGAACTCCAGGGCTACAAGATCCTTAGTGATTAAAAGAACTCCTCCAGCCACGAGGTCTGCAATGGAGCCGGAACGCAGGCAGCTGTGAGCCCGGCTGTCTGATCTGTCTGAGCCACTTGTCCCTTCTCGATATCCCAGTTATCTCCAGGCTCAAGCCTACCTTCTCACTCAGAGCCACTCATGGGGACAGACTTGATGCTTCTGCACTGGCTCTCCTCTTTTCAACCCACACACAGTACTGTCAGTCCTGGGGAAAGTGAACCTCCCTCCCTCCCTCTCTCCCTCCCTCCCTCTCTCCCTCCCTCCCTCCCTCCCTCCCTCCCTCCCTCCCTCCCTCCCTCCCTCCCTCTCTCTCTCTCTCTCTCTCTCTCTCTCTCTCTCTGTCTGTCTCTGTCTCTCTCTCTCTCTCTGTCTCTGTCTCTTTCTCTCTCTCTGTCTGTCTCTTTCTCTGTCTCTCTGTCTCTGTCTCTGTCTCTCTGTCTCTCTCTCTGTCTCTCTGTCTCTGTCTCTGTCTCTGTCTCTGTCTCTGTCTCTCTCTCTCTCTCTCTCTCTCTCTCTCTCTCTCTCTCTCTCTTGTGCCAACTCCAGATCCAGCACTTCCGAGCTCCTGTGGTCAGATTCCATTCAAAGATTGGTGGCAGAGGCCAGCATGTCAAGTATCTTGGTGAGAGTCCTGGGGGACCAGATCAGCTCTGAAGAGAGGAGAAGGATCTGCATTGCTTAGGGTAAACATCAGAAAGAGGAAGTAGGTGCCAAGGCCCTAGCTTTAATCCCAGCACCAGAAAAAGTGAACAGAGAGGAAACACATAGTAAGGAATGCTTGACTGGATCAATTAAATGGAGTACATTGTAGGAGTAATTAATTGTTTGCTGATAAAAGCTTTTACTGCACACTTGGAATGCACTAAACATATTCATGTAACACACTGAATCTTTCCTAGAGTGACTGTGCACCCCTATAATCCCAGTATTTGGGAGGAAGAGGCGGGATGATTAGGAGTTTAAGGTCATCCTTGGCTCCATAGCAAACCAGGGGACTATCTGGGCTACAAGAGACATAAGACTTGGAAAGGTGGGAGGGCACAAATATTTGTAAAAACCCAGTAGAGTCATTTCATGATCATGTGTCTGTGGCCACTAATGACCAGTACCATTTGGAAGATGGAAAGAGGCCAGAGGTTACACATCATTGACGAGGATTCCTGGGCGAAAAGCATCTGCAGTGCCCGTAGCACCAACCACTGCCCCGCTGCTCCTGTCTCATCCTGCCTTTGAGGTTGCCCCCTTGGCTCTTTCGGGCCTAAGAAATGCTCACTGCGAATGATCTCATCCCTCAGTACCTCAGTTTGCCACTTGTACCTTTTCTTTTTCCTGGGCAAACTTCAGCAGCCGCCTCCTCCTCCAACTGCCTTCACCCCTTTAGTCCAGGCAAACCAAAAGCATAAGGAGAAAACCGCAGTGAGGACTGGAAAAGATCCAACCACCAGGCCTGCACACTCCAGAGCACTCCTCAACAGAGGGCTCAGCGTCCCAGAAATGCAAACCCTACTGTAAACAGCTAGACTGGGGGTCGGGGAACACTTTGCTCTCAGTTTCCTGGCTGCTAAGGGATCGAATCCCTATTTCCTGATGTAGGACAGATGTCCACTGTCCAGGGATCTCAGCTGGGCCATGCCTAAGGAGTCTGTGATGGTTTGAATGAGCACGGTTCCCATAGCTGTGTATATTCAAATGTGTGGCTCCCTGTTGGTGAACTGTTTGCAAGGACCAGGAGGGGTGGCCTTGTTGGAGGAGGTGCACCATTGAGGGTGGGCTTTGAGGTTTCTAGTGTCTCTCTGCCTTCTAGCTTGGGATGATGTCTTAGTTAGGGTTTTATTGTGTGGAGAGACTCCATAACCATATCTTGTCACAATGAAGGAAGGAGTGTGTCTTGGGCAGGGCATCTTCACTGACAAGGGACAGAATGAGACATGAAGGAAGCTCTAGATGTCACTTACATGGCTGTTACCTGAATGGACAGTTTCCAGGGGTGGAATGAAGGGGCTTTCAGTCAAGGAGGGCTTGCACTTCAGAGCAGTAAACTAAAACTGGGCTAAAACTGTGATGTTATGGAGGCCAGAGGACAGTTTGTGGGAATTGATTCTCTCTTTCCCCCAAGTGGATTATGGGGATTGAACTCAGGTCATCAGGCTTAGCTGCAAGTGCCTTTACCCACTGAACCACCCTCCTGGCCTTGTTTTGTGAGTCGGGATCTCCCTATATAGCCAATGCTGGTCTCCAATTAATGATTCTCTTGCCTGAGCTTCATGAGTGCTGGGATTGTAAGTGTGTGCTAGCATGATCAGCAAAGACATGTTTTTACTATTATTTTGATTGTTATGGTTTTTTTTTTTTTTTGGTTTTGGTTTTGGTTTTTTGAGACAGGGTTTCTCTGTATTGTTTTGGAGACTGTCCTTGAACTCGCTCTGTAGACCATGTTGGCCTCGAACTCACAGAGATCCGCCTTCCTCTGCCTTCCAAGTGCTGGGATTAATGGCATTTGCCACCAACACCCAGCGATTATTATGATTTTGAGACAGGGACTCACTATGTAACCCTGACTGGCTTGGAACTTAGTAGGTAGACCAAGCTGCCCTCAAAGTCACAGAGATCTACCTTTTTGCCTTTAATTCCTAAGTACTGGGATTAAAGGTATGTATACCTGGCAAATGCATAATTATTTAATAATGGGTTTTTAACCATCTCTCAGCCAAACAGCAGTTCCTCTTCACGTGCTGGCTCTGCCGGAACCTTGATCTCGGATCTCCAGCCTTCAAGTATGATGAGAATGAAAGCTGTTACAAACCACCCAGTTCACAGTCATTGTTTTGTTGTTTATGTTTTATTTTTAGGTTAAGTCTTAGTTAGGATTTCTATTGCTATGATGAAATACCACGACCAAAAAAAAAAAAAAAAAGCAAGTTGGGGAAGTAAGGGTTTATTTGGCTTACATTTCCACATCATAGTTCATCACTGAAGGGAGTCAGGACAGGAACTCACACAGGGCAGGAACCTGGAGGCAGAGGCCAAGGAGGAGTGCTGCTTACCAACTTCCTTCCCATGGCTTGCTCAACCTGTTTTCTTATAGAACCCAGGACTACCAACCCAGGAATGGCACCACCCACCATGGGCTGGGCCCTCCCCCATTGGTCACTAATTGATCTCAAGGAGGTACTTCCTCAACTGAGTGACTCTAGCTTGACACCCAAAATCAGCCTGTACAAGTTATTCAAGAAAGGGGTTCTCACCAGATGGTGGTGGTACACGCCTTTGATCCCATCACGTGGGAGGCAGAAGAAGGAGGATCTCTGTGAGTTCAAAGCCAGCTTGGTCTACAGAGTGTGTGGGAGACAGCCAACTGACTAGTGGGTATCTGGAAAGCTGAGGGAGAAATAGTATTTGAACAGGATGTGAGAGGTGTCTGGACCGGAGAGGGTTAGGGCAGCAGTGAGGCAAAGAATTTGGACTTAGCCTGCTTGCTGAGAGAAAGCCATCACTCAAAACACATCTGAATCCTGCCCTGTTTCAGACCCCACTTTGCAGCCTGTTTCTCAGATCTCAGCACATAATCATTTGAGATTAAAGCCATCTCACGCAAGTGCCTTAGAGAGTAAATTGCATGGTGGGAAGGCAGGTAAGTGACATACCCCAGCAGTCAGGGCTGTGGGAAGGGCCGGGCTGAGCAGGATGGTGTCAACGACCAGACCCTCCCTCCTAGTCACTGGAGAGAACCACACTGAGTCCCACTGAGTCATGAAGACCTACAAAAGCAGTCAGCTTTATTGTAACAGGCGCTTATGTGGAGTTGAGCAAGTGGGTAGGGATGGGTGAGGTGTAAAGGCCAATAATATTCCACTACGTTAGCAGTAGCTGGGCAGAGGCTGTTTTGCTGAGACACGTTGCCAAACTCTAGCCAGGCTCAGGAAGTTCCACTAGACCTTGCACCCGGGCCTTTTTAGGCCCAACAAGTTACCATGGCCACTTGACTGTGGTACAATCAATACTGCCACCCTCTGGAAGGTGCAGCTTAAGCAGGAAGGCCATCTGGTTACTTCTGGTTGAATACCTCTTCAACTTTTGTTCCTAAGACCCTAGGCTGAGAAACAACAAAAGGATTTAAAGATGGATAGACGGAACCGTTAGTCACCAGGCGATGAGTAACTCCAGGGAGAACTGAAGCAATTTTTAGACTGGGTTCAGAAAGGCAGCGAGTCCTGAGAACAAAAGGCGTGTTCCCAGCCCGGGAGGAACCACAGCGCTATGTCCATCAAAAAGCAGGTGGACCAGCACCTGCTCCATTCTCCCTCCTGCAGAAGTCAGGTGATCGGCTTCCTCCAGGGAGACTTGCCACTGTGGAGAGCTGGGTACAGCTGGCTTCTGGGGCAGTCCCCCCACCCCTGCCACTAGACACAGACTGAGGCCAACTTTCCTACCTCAGTCTGGCTCCAGGACCTTGGCCACTCTTCCCACTGCCACTTGCGTCCCAATTGGCTGTCCAGATTGTATCGATCTGTGATCGATCAATCTATCAGTCTATGTCACTGTACCGGGTTGTTTATAAAAGGTGCCCACAAGTCAAGTGGTTCAAGCCTGTGATCCCAGGACTTGGGAAGATAAGGCAGGAGGATTGCCACAAGTTTGAGGTCAGCCTAGGCTAAATAGTGAGAATCTGGCTAACCAGAGCTACATAATGAGATTCTGTCATTAAAAGAAAAAAAAAACTGGTGGCACACACCTTTTATCCCAGCACTCAGGAGGCATAGGCAGAGGCAGGCAGATCTCTGTGAGTTCAGAGCAGGCTTGGTCTACAGGGTCAGTTTCAGGACAGGCAGGGCTACATAGACTCTGTTAAAAGAAAGGAAGGAAAAAGAAAGGAAAAGAAAGGAAAAAGCAAAGGAAGGCACCTACCAGGAAGCTGGGGGGGGCAGCAGTGACAAAGACTGGAGTCTGAGACTCACGTGGCCCTGGGGTGCTTCCTTCATCCTGGTGGGCCTCTGCCCCTCAGACTCTGAAAGTCAGTCTTTCCCGTGTTTCTTGGTGCCTGACACTGGGTGGTTGCCACAGGAGAGCCCCATGGGCCTGTCTGTACCCCCCTTTGGGAGGGCATGCAGCTGTCACAAGTCACTATGCTTGCTGGCTGAAAGCTTGGTGGGAATAGTGTGTTGTTCTGTCTCAGAGGTGTCCTGCCCTGTCCCAAGGATGTCTAGTAGATACAGGAGATCATGGCATAGTTCCTGCCCAGTCCCAAGGATGTCTAGTAGATACAAGAGATCATGGCATAGGTTCTGCCCAGTCCCAAGGATGTCTAGTAGATACAAGAGATCATGGCATAGGTTCTAACCAGTCCCAAGGATCTCTAGTAGATACAGGAGATTGTAGCATTGTTATGCCAAGTTCCTGAGGCCCCAAAAAGACCATCCAGGAGCCGACTCACTGATGCAAACGCATAAGCTTTAATGTTAAGTTACAAGCCTCGGCAGGGACCCTATCCAGCAATCTGGCATAGCAGCTGCCAGAAAAGAGTGTCTGGCCTCAATTGCAAGGGGTTTATACAGGAAAAATCCACAAGCAGGGTGGTATGTGCCTTGGCTGTTCAGGATTGGGTAAGAATAGGTGACCTTTGGATTCACTGACGTGGGGGCTAGGGGAATTTCAAAATTGTTATTTATGGTTGTCCACAAGGACAGTTATGACGAGGTATTATTTACCAAAATTAGTCATTGCCTAACCACCTGGATGGGGCAGTTTTGACCGGGTGGGCACAGTTTGGGTGCTCCTTGGAACTGTTTATGGTTCCTTGACTGAAGCTGAATCAGCCTTGTGCCATGCAGGGAATTTCTCAAGGTGGCTTTTTCTGAGGATGGAGTTAACTTTATCCTTTCCAGTTTACCTTGCTCTTATAGACATACATTCTGGCAGCTTTTGCAGGCTCAGAATAGTCCAAACCAGTCCCTTTTCTTCCCCTGGATTTAAGTTTGTTTTTCTTCATTTTGTTTCTGGAAACAAGTTCTCCTGGGGCAGTCTGGGCTGGCCTGAACTTGAGATCCTCCAGTCTTAGCCTCCCTAGTGCTGGGACCACAGACTCAGCTGCATTGTGCTTTTAAACAAAACTTTGGCTTGGCTTGGGGTTTGTTGATGGAGACACAGTATTTAGTTGAGGAGTCCGTAAAACAAAATTCCTTCTAAGGTCTGTCCATCAGCTGTGCAAACCAGTCTCACGGCTGCAATTTCAAGCCATCCTAACCTCTGAGGTCCTAGTTATAGCCTCAGTTTCAGAGAGAAATCAGTTGCCATACTCTGCTTGACAAGCTGCAGGACCTGGGTGGGAATGATGCCTTGTTGGGATGTGCGTGTGTGTGTGTGTGTGTGTGTGTGTGTGTGTGTGTGTGTGTGTGCGTGCGTGCTGGGGGCAGGCAGCTTCCCTTACCTAGAGTTGAAAGTAAAGGTCTTTTCTAGGCTACCTTCCTGAGAAAGCTGGTAGGCCAAGGCTGGAGGCACCATGGTAACCAGCCCATTGGCAAGGCATTTGCCACAGAAAAGTCATGACCCTGCTGGACCCACCCCAGGGCTGCCAGAGTCCATGAAGTGGGCAATAATTCAGTTAGACTCAGCAAAAGGTTACATCTAGGTGTCTTGCTACATACCTATCATTGCCAAACTTTGGAGACTGAGACAGGGATCTGAGTTTGAAGTCTGCCGGGATTATATGGGGGAGATTCTGCCAAAACCAACCCAACCCACTAGGGAATGTCTTAAGGCAAAGCAGTGGTTGAACCAGATACTATTTCCTGGCTAAAGAGGACTTGCTTTGGGACTGAGGGGTACACTATTTGGTCTGTGGTCTCCAGGAGTCATACTGCAGTCTGGGCACACTCAAGTCCCTGTCACTCTAGAGGAGGCTCAACACAGTCTGGCGAAGGCCTGAGGCTGTTCCATGCTGCATGAGCAGAAAGAGAAAAGGACAGACAGGAACCATGGGGAGGGACGCTTGCTCTCAGGGCTCTGTGCCAGGGAGCTTCTGTTCACAGCTGATTCTCAAATCCTCAAGCGAGCCACAGAGGAGACAGCCTGTGCAGGGAAACTGAGTGAGGCTCAGCTCTGAGCTCCACACTTGACTTTCTGAAGGTGTCCTGCAGACCAGAGTCTCAGCTGCATAGACACTATCCCACAGTTCCCTGGGCTGGGGTCACAAAGACATATGAGTTCTAAGTTAACAGTGACAATGGCCACCATTCAAGAGCTATCCTTGAGCTTCTTTCTCTAACCCTCCCTTAGCCCAGCATTGTAAACAAAAGGACACACCCAAATTGTTCCGATGTTAAGGGTTAAAAAATCTTATAATCTGGGACACGTGGTTGATTCAGGGTTTAAAAATCTTATAATCGACAGGCGTTGGTGGCGCACACCTTTAATCCCAGCACTCGGGAGACAGGGGCAGGCAGATCTGTGTGAGTTCGAGACCAGCCAAAAGAACTTGCCACAAAACCAGGTCATTGAATTAGATTCTTGGAGCCCACATGGTGGAAGGAGAGAACTGACTGCAGGTTTTCTTCTGATATCACATGCACACCATGGAGTGTGTGTACCCCCCACATCCATCCTCTTTACACAGAGAACTAACCACAGGTTTTCTTCTGATATCACATGCACACCATGGAGTGTGTGTACCTCCCCACATACATCCTCTTTACACAGAGAACTAACCACAGGTTTTCTTCTGATATCACATGCACACCATGGAGTGTGTGTACCCCCCCACATCCTCTTTACACACACACACACACACTAAGTTAATAAAATGTAAATGAAAAACTTTTTGCCAGACAGGATGGCACACCCCTTTTAACCTCAGTACTCACATAGCAGAGAAAGGTAGATCAATGTGATTCTGAGACCAACCTGGCCTACACAACAAGTTCTAGACAAGCCAGGGCTATGTAGCAGGAACCCTTGCTTAGAAATCAGAATTTGTAATCCCAGCACTGAGGAAGTAGAAACAGGCAGATCCCTGGGGATTCATAGCCAGACTGCCTAGACTAAGAGACACTTTCCAGGTCCTACAGGATAGCTACATTCATGCATGCATATATAAACTAAGGCAGATCCAGGTGTGGCTGTTCACACCTTTAACCTGGCACTCAAAGGCAGGTGGATCTCCGTGAGTTCTGGGCCAGGCAGAACTCAAAAAAGCAAACACACACACACACACACACACACACACACACACATGCTGGGATAACTGGCAAGATAAAATGTGTTGCATGAAGTATGTTTAGTACACACACCAAATGTGCACTAAATGCTTTTATCAGCAAGCACTTAATTATTCCTACAATGTACTCCATTTAATTAATCCAGTCAAGCATTGCTTACAATGTGTTTCCTCTCTGTTCACTTTTTCTGGTGCTGGGATTAAATCTAGGGCCTTGGCACCTACTTCCTTTTTCTGTTTACCCTAAGCAATGCAGATCCTTCTCTCTTCAGAGCTGACCTGGTCCCCCAGGACCGTCACCAAGATACTGCAAACTTGACATGCTGGCCTCTGCCACCAATCTGTGAACCTAGAATCTGTGACCACAGGAGCTCAGAAGTGCTGGATCTGGAGATGGGACTAGGGAAAGGTTCACTTTCCCCGGGATTTAGAGTACTTAGTGCAGAAGCATCAAGTCTGTCCCCCGTGAGTGGCTCTGAGAAGGTGGACTTGAGTCTGGGGTTGGCTGGGATATTGAGGAGGGACACGTGGCTTAACTCCAGGGCAACTTAAATCAGACAGCCTTACTGGGTCTGGGAGTTCACGCAGGCCGCGTGGCAGGAGGGATTCCTGGGATCTGTGAGAGTCTTATGGCGCTAGAACTCGGTGGGAGCTCTTTGGACAACAGTTCCCATAGGGTGATCAGCGCCACGAGCTAATGAGGCGGATTGGTGAGGAATGAATGTACCATACTGGAGAGTGTGTCCCAGGTGTGTCTGCTGATGCAGACGACCGCTCACGTGCTGCAGCATAGGGGAGCCCCTCCAGCTCAATTCCACAAGTCCCTTTTCCCGGAGGGGCGTGGCCTGCGCGTGGCACCGCCTCCAGCCCGCCCCTCGCCGCGCGGGACTGGCGGGTTAGCAGCCAGGCCTGTTGAGGTCAGAGGAGGCGGGCTGCGCGTCCAAGCCCAGCGCCTGCGCGTGCTGAAGGCAACCGGGAGGGGAGACCGAGCGTGCGGCCTGGGTAGCCGGATTCCGTGACACCACTTGGGCATCGCGCCACCACGGTCTGTCCGGCATGGAGAGCGAGTGTCGGGTGCTCTCCATCCAGAGCCATGTCGTCCGTGGCTACGTGGGTAACCGGGCGGCCATGTTCCCGCTGCAGGTAGGCGCTCCACCGCTTATGTAAATCGGGCTGCTGGCGGTTCTGCTAGATCGCAGAGTAGCCTCCCCGGACCGATGACCTTGCTACCCCCCTGCGGCCACCCTCGGGTCCCGTTTGCGAGCTGGGTGCGCTGCCGACAGAGCCTGGCGCACGCAGGCGGGGGCGTGGAGGATCCTGGGGAGCCCACAAGTAGGGTGGTGCAGGTGACACGAAGTCCCCTGCCCGACTGTGGCGCACTGGGTCCCTGCTGCTTCCGGCTGACTGGCCAGCAGTGGGCGGGGGGATCCCCGAGGCGATGAAATGCAGAGCTGGGAGGATCCTGCCCTGCGAAAGCTCAGACAGCTTTTGGTAGACACATGGGCGGGTGATTGCTCATTACCTGCTGAAATTCAGGTTCTGCCTCTGCCTACCCTGTGAGCTTAGACCAGGAGAAGGCTGGACCACACTTTGGATTTGGCTACTCCTGGAGTGGTCTTTCTTCCGCTGGAATAGGGCTGGAACCGCCCTGCACCGCAGACCTGCTTGTATCTTAACAGACAGCTCATTTTCGTGAGTTTCGCTTTGGAAGCAACCTGTTAGAAAGGCTGTCATAGCCTTGTCTTCTTCCCAGAGCTTCTTTCCTACGAGGCTGTCTGTGACCATTTCTGACCCTCGATGCTTCCTGCGTGAGACCTGGTGACCCTAGGAGAGAACCACGGTGCAGTGGGTATTAGAATGGAGGCTAGAGGCAATGTCAGAGTGATTGGCACTTCCTTGCCTGGCTGGTCCAGCAGGAAGATTGGGCTGACCTGGCCAGCCAGGAGGTGGCCTTGCCTCCTCTGAACCTCTTGGGCTGGTCACTGAGCAAGGTGGTAGGTTCCTGTACCCCTTCCGCTCATGCCCAGCTGCTGTACTGACCCCTGGGGGACCTTAGGAAGGGGCACCTGGCTACCACGGACCTGCGGGGAGGACCTGGAAGGAGGACAGATGTCCCAGAGCACTATCTAAGAGCAATCTGAGGGCTGTCCTGAGGCAGTCGTGCCTGGCAGACAAAACATGGCAAATGGTTATGGGTGTCCAGTGCAGGGCTTCAAGTCCATAGGCACAGGGCGTTCGCTGAGACTTGGGCTCCTATTGGTTGATTAGCAATTCTTCACCCATCCCCACACCGACTCTTGTTCTACCCCAGGTGCACGGGTCTGCCGCTTCGTGCTCTTAACCATTGCTCTCTGGCTTTAGTGGCCCGGGGTGGGTAGCAAGCTGACTGAGGGGAGACTGTACTTAGGAGCAAGGGGGCAGAGTCCCTGAAGCAGGGACAGCCAGGGAGGGTGGGGTCATGCTGAGCTCCAAGCAGTCCTCTCACCTTGGACAGAGGTGTGCAGGGCTCCTGAGGCCCCGAGTCCCGTGTCCCCTGCCCCTTCCCCTGGCTGCTGCTCTTCCTTCACTGAGCCCTCTCTCCCTGACTCTCCTGGCCGTCTGTCCTGACTGCACGAAGGGCTCAGCTTCCTCGGTCAGACTGAAGGCATGGTGTTCTACCCATCCAAGGGAGGAGGCTCCTCTTAGCTTCTTCCCTCAGAGAGGCGCCTAAGCACCTGGGGACTCCTTCAAGTCCCTGGTGGCATTTTGCTGCTACCATAGCTCCGTGTGGCCCTGGATAGGGAGCAGCACTGGGATGGGTAGGGAGGACACGTCCAGCATGGAGAGCCTTAGTGAGCACCCGTGGGCTGGCACCTTCAGAGCTTGTGGTGGCCTGGGGCCAGCACTATAGTCTTTGAGCAGCTGTTCCAGGAGGAGGAACAGCACTAGGTCCAGAGCTGTTCTCAGTGGAGGCGGGGTTTGTGTTCTCACTGTACCTTCTGGAGTACAAAGTCTCATTCCCATTGCTGGATATGGGAAGAAAAGCCAGCAAGGGTAGAATGGAGTCTTGGGCTGGGCCCCAAGATTTGTCCCAGAGCTGCTCCAAGAAGGCCACAGGCTGGAGGCTGTGGAGGCCTCTTGGGCCTTTCCTAGGTGACTGGAGGATGTACCATCAGGTGGCTGTCCAGGCACGCCAGAGTAATGGCTGGGGAACTTACTTTATTTTTTTTATTTTTTGGTTTTGTTTTTCGAGACAGGGTTTCTCTGTATTGCTTTGGAGCCTGTCCTGGAACTTGCTCTGAAGACCAGACTGACCTGGAACTCACAGAGATCAGCCTGCCCCTGCCTCCCAAGTGCTGGGATTAAAGGTGTATGCTGCCACCACCCAGCTGGCTGGGGAAGTTTCTGGGCCTCCCCTGTAGACCAGGCAGCAAGCTCTTGATGAGATGGTACCAGGACTTCTGAAGTCCCTTGTGCTGGGCCTGGCTTGTGCCTGTGGCTGGCGAGCTCCCTCTAACTTTGAGTTCAATCAAGGCCAGCCAGGTCTACAGAGCAAGTGCCTGGACTGTCTCCAAAGCTACAGAGAAACCCTGTCTCGAAAAACAAGAAAGAAAGGAAGGAAGGAAGGGAGAGAGGGAGGGAGGGAGGGAGGGAGGGAGGGAGGAAGGAAGGAAGGAAGGAAGGAAGGAAGGAAGGAAGGAAGGAAGGAAGGAAGGAAGGAAGGAAAGAAGAGGCAGCAGAACCCTTTCCCTGTCTTCTGATTTTGCTTCTGGCCCCAGGCCAGAGTGTAGTAGCAAAGGTTTCCTGTGACCTGAGCCGTTAGGTAGTGGGGTGGCAAGGGAAATACTTGAAGGTTTTCAGAACAGAAGGAGGGTAAGGGGAGAGTTGCGGGAGGGCCTCTGAAGCTGGGGGTTTCCTGCTGTTTTGCCTCTAGACTGCAGGGCGAGCAGGGAAGGGCAGGGTAAAGTCCAGGGTGCTTGCTGTCATTTCTCCTCTACTAGAGGAACCTTGTCTTCCCTTCTTGTTTTCTGTGGTGCTAAGGACCAAACCCAGGGCCTTGTGCGTGCTTAACAAATGCTCTTCCACTGAGCTGTGCCCCAGGCACTGTGTAGACCTGGCTGACCTCAAACTCGCTGATCACGTGTCTCCAGTGTGGGAATTAAATATGTATGCCACCAGGCTTGGCTTCCCAATCCCCTTGTTGCTTGCTGCTGGGGACAGAGCCCAGGGCCTTTCTTACACATAAATACTGTAGAACCAGCTACACCTCCAGCCCGCTTCCTCCTGCGAGAGGCAGGAGGGAAGGAAGAGTCAGTATCTTAAGGGTGTGTGTGTGTGTGTGTGTGTGTGTACATGTGTGTGTGTACACATGTGTGCATGTGTATGTGAGTCTGTGTGATGGGTTTCCTGAGCCCCTAGCGTGTGTGCAGAGCCTTCCTAGGATCAGGATTTGCCAGCTCACGTTCTTTGTGTGTGTCAGGGGTTATGGCTCTGTCCCATCTGCTTTCAGAGGAATCTGAAAACGTCCAAGTTTAGGGTCTAGAGAAAGGCTGCAGTGGTGATGATACCAAGTTGTCCCTTAGGAAAGGGAACAGAGCAGCAGGGACTGGGGTCCCCAAGCTCTGCATACAGCTGTGGCTTCAAGCAGGGTCTTCTGAGGGTGCCAGCCACCTGGCTGCGATGGAGGAGTCAGTGTGTGGTTGGAGAGTCACCTCCTGCCCTGTCCCCTTACCTGTCATTGTCTGCTGGAAAAGTAGTCCCTTGAGTAGCTAAACTGAAGACACTGCTGAGGCAGATGAGGCATGGCCCATCCAGTTGCTATGAGCCCATGTGAGGTCCTGTGGGTGGGAGCCTGCCACCCCCACCCCCTCTGGGGCATGAAGGGGAGTTCATCCTGGGGCAGTATGCAGGAGGCCCTCTGGTAAGTAGACCAAAGCAATGAGTAAGTAAGGGCAGCTCTGGTGCAGTGGCCTGTAGGGGTGAACTAAGGCCACATTGTGGAATTCATTTGGGGTCAGGAATGCTGTTTTGGTACCCCCTGGAAGCTCAGCCACTCCCAGCTGTCTGAGCCAGATGTGAGCAGCTGGCCAGCTGATAGACAGGGGGTCGTGGAACAGTTCCTGGCCAGCTTGCATCTCAGTGACCATCTGGAACCTAGGTGAACCCGAATCTGGCTCACTGAGTCTCAGAGGGACCTGGCAGCAACAAGGGCTGGCAAGGTCAGCCAATGGATGCCACCGTAGGCTCAGCACAGACCCTCTCCTTAGGGCTTCACGTGCCCAACAAGGCAGACCCCAACAGCCAGACATGGCCCCTGGCTATGCCTGCCTAGTGCTGAATCCTGGAGTGAGTGCTGTGAGCCAGGCTGGGGGGCTGGAGTCACAGGGTAGGGAGAGAGATGCTTTGTGGGAAGCAGGCTGTGTAGTAACAGTTCACCATGGAGATCAGAGGGTGTGGTTTGGCTGATTGTAAGGCTGAGCAGTTGCCAGTGGTGGGAGGGATGTGGGGCCTTTGGCTGTTAGGTGACTCAGGGTGACAATGGTTACAAGGTGTTTGTCCACCCTGCTAGCTGATTCCCATCTGTGAAAGAGGCTTAAGCATCAGCCATGGACTGGTTCTCCAGGGCTGGGGACACCAGTGAGGCTGGGCCTGTCCCTCCTGTCTGTCCCTAGATTCCTGTGGAAGAACCACACTGGAATATTCCAGAACTCACCCCAATCCTGCTGTGCTGAGTTGCTCTGCCTCTCTTGGGGATTAGTTGAGCTATTGCTCTAAACAGGCCTCCTCTGGCTGTGTGTGCCTCTTTGCTGGAGTTTTGACGATGCAGCAGGGGAGGCGGGTATGGGGTCCCTAGGATGTACACCACCTGCCCACACAGCCACCCCAGCATAGTACACATCACTGCTGGGGGTGGGGGTGGTCCTGAGGTTGCATGAGGGACAGGAGGAGGAGCCATGTCTGGCAGCCTTGGGCAGCAGGAAGCAGGAAAGACAAGCTTCATGTTCCTGTTTTGGCTTTCCCTTTCCTGGGTGCCACTTGCCTTCATCTGGAGGTGTTGTCCCCAACAGCAGGAGGGAGGAAGTGCTACAGGCTGTGCCTGGGGTGTTTTAACTACCCCAGGGGACAGCCAGAGACTCCCCACAGGATGGTGCTGTCCCGTTTGC